TTGGAACTGCTGATTAATAGATACATAAAATAGGTAGATTTAAATAAGAATTATATTAAATACTTTAAAGATTAGACATAGTCATAGTCTATACTTTATAACATAATCTACCATATTAAAGTAAATTGGAATTATCTGGATTAAAATAATAGTTTGTTATTTCATATTATAATCTTTCTCTACAAGCTAAACAATTCAATGGACATTCGATACATTCAGATTTATCATATACTAATGATCTATCATTGAATGTATCATAACATTCCCCACAAAAAGCATATGTTGATTTAAAAACACAACTATTAATTGAGTCATCACTTACAATTTGATTCTCAACTTAACAATTACTACTGCAACCTAAACATTCATTTCCATATAATTAATAACCAAATTTACATGATGTACATTAAACATTAATAGGAATGTCATTTAAGAAAGTTTCCTTTAATGAATTATTAATTGGTTCCATTTTCAATAAATAATCAGTAAAATTATAAGTCTAAGAATATTACCAACATGTTTAACAATTATTAGGACAAGCATCACAAAAACCAGTAAATATATTTGGATAATATCCATTACTACATTAAATACATTAATATAATGTTTAAGCAGCCCTTGTAAATATTTAACCTGAACCATCTGTATATTTTGTTTGATCCAAACTTTTATAAGAAAAGCAATTTGAACAATAACTAATATAGGATGTACATAAACTAGAACAAATATTATTGAATTAATCTAGTATTACATTATTGACACATTGTCTACATTTCAAAGTGACATCTGTATATTTCCTATCACATTAATCTAAAGCTGGTGCTGCTAATATACAACTTTATTTATCAGCACTAACTCTATAACCACTAATGCATTTGAAACATAATAAATTAGATACAAGATCATTAACTTTACTAGGTTCAAAATCATAATCCATTGTTGTTACATCCCCTCTAATATTGTAATAACATAAATCACATTTTGGTATTTAACATGTTACACAATCTATACCATTATGACTTACAAAACTTTAAGTTGAACATTATCTACACCTTTTAATATATAAATTTTATTTGCTAATATCTTCAATCTTAATCATTGTCCTTGTAGGATAATGATATTAAACATTTGAAGCATAAGATACATATTCACATCTCTTACATTCAGTACCACAATCTAAACACATTTTTTAATCCAAAGAAGCAACCATTCCTTCTATACATTTTGTGCATACTGTCTATAATTATATTACAAAACAATTTAAACAACCCTCTTCACATTTTTTACATAAACCATAATTTATCATATATCCATCATTACACTATGTACATTATCCATTTGAACACTTTAAACAATCTGGTGGACAACTAATACACAACTGATTTTTAAATTCATAAGTTAATAAACATTCTATCCCAATTACACCACTATCCTCAGCATAAGGTGAACTAATACTATTACAATTTTCACTTGACCCTGGAATACAAAATCTCTTACAACCTGAACATACATAAGTTTCATATTAATATTAAACCTATATATATACTTATATAACACATTTACATCTCGTGTAATTGAATCCAAATTAACTCCACTTGAAGTTGAAGGACCAATAAAATACAATTCAGTGTATTCCTTTGTTTTATGAATATATGTTCCCTTCATATAATCACCACTCTCTATCGAATATTCATAAGAACAAGTTCTATTACTCCACCAAGTATAAGGATGCTCTATACAATCCATACAATATAAAGTGAAGCTATCAATAACCTTTTAATAAGGGCTATATAGATCTCTGTTCTTACCATGGTACACATGACAATCCATTTTATAGGAAGTATCCATACTCACATTTTATCTAATAGTTCTAACAATCAAATTATCCTAATGGGCATAATTCTTAACAAGCTCCGTTTTAATATGTTTTACATCCCATTTCTATCTGTTATCTATTGAATAAATATTTAAACTTACAAGATGATTTGGTTTCTTGCTGTAGGTACAAACTAAATTATGGTAATAGTAAAAAGAAGTAACATTAATATTATTTAAAAATTTATTTGTTTATTCATTCTTTTTATGTTTAAAAATACTAAATCATTTATGTAACTATTTAAATATGATCAACCAAATATCAATTCTACATTAAAATTAATATCATTTTTTTCTAGAATTCTTGAAATAAAAATACAAAATTTGCTCATAATATAACTCATTTATAATTATTTCTGTATTAATTTTTGTTGTTATCTAATTTCTCTTATTGATTATACAAAATTATGAAATATAACTTATTTTTTTTCATGTGTATAAAATTCTATTTTAGATTATATATACAATAGATCTAAACATAAATCGCATAGAATTAACGGTTTATTTGAAAATTCCATTTGTTTTGTACTTTTAATATCATAACATAATAATATATTTTCATTTTAAAAACTTATTCATTTATTAAGTATTTTAAAAATATTATAAAGACTATATAATTTAAACTGATAATTATTGAGTTAAAATAATAAAATAAGAGAATTAACATGTTATTAATCATATTTGGGTTAATTCCTCGACAAAATCTTTTAATAAACCTTTCAAATCCTCAGTAATTTATTTAACCAGTTTTATTAAAGTTTCATTTGTTTTAGAAATAACAAATTATAATCTTCCTTCTTCTGAATCATTCTTTTGTATTTCTATTCTAGAAATTAATATTAATAATCCATACTTATTTGAAATTTTTTCCTCTCTTAATCTTTTCTTTTCAGCAAACCATTTGTAAATTTGTTTCTATATTTATTCATAACTATATGTTAAACTATTTAATTAAAATTCAATTTGTGTAATTTAGCTCAGAATTAGATTTTAATGTTTGTAATCTATATATAAATATTAAAATAATTACAATTAGCTTAAAACAATCTCTATGTATCTTAGACCTACCGTATATTCTCATCAGATATAATTTATGTTGTTGATAATTAATTAATAGATGAGAATTTTTCAATTGGATCATAAAATTAATTTAAACATTATTTGAATTTACTTAGTTCTTATTTTTTATTTTATAAATTTTTGTAATGATTTTAAACTTATCGATATTCTTCTTAAAATTTTGCTTCAATTTCTTTTTCTCCTTTAAAATAATCAATAAGATCTACTAATGATTTTCCTATAATAATTTCCTTCAATTTCTATTTTCTAGTGAATTCATCAGGATCTGGTAAAAATGTATCTTCATCTAAATTGTCTGCTTTTGAGAACTTAATTTCTTTTAAGATTTAATCAAATTTCTTATCAATACTTAAAAATGACAACAATATGGAATCATCTTTATATTTTGTTAAAGATTACAAAAACAATTATAATTGTTCTTACCTCTAAGATATGAATTGACAATTTTCTACAACCATATTCTTTAAACTAGCAATAACACCTTCTTTTTCTGGTAAGCTAGGAATAATATCTCCCAATTTAGATTTAGTAAAATATTATTAGAGCATCTTAAAATCTGTATATCTTCTCTAAACTTAAAATTTAGAATATTATCTATTAAATGGGTCAGTAAGAATTTCTGAACAGACTGTATATGTATAATAAGTTTATAAAAAGGGACCCTCTTTATATGATTAATAACTTGGAATCCATACATAGATATCTTTTGATTAGTCTCGATTTAAATATTATGAATCATCATCTTCATTAATTTCAATAATATCAGGTAAATTTTCTTTAATATCATTAGGTTTAGCATTTACTTCTTACTTCTACGTCTAATTAATATCTTACAACAACTAATTAGATTAGATTGAATCCACAATAGATTTTTGCTATTATTTACTATTTTTATTATAATCTATATCTATAACACCAAATTCAGTAATTAGATGTTATTCACTTTACATCAATTAAGCATTGCTTTCTAAATTTACTTTAAGAATTTATTGTTCAAATATAAAATTTTGATTTATATTAGTTTCTATTTTAGGTTAAAATATTTGGCCAAATTATTGAACTTCTTCTACAATTTTGTTTTATTATTCTATATTTCCTTCATCTTTTTATATTTATTTAGTTTAATTATTCCTTGCTTCTTAATGAATTTAACTTCTTTATCTTTCTTGAGATGCTGGATCCTTTATTAAATTCTATAAATTCTAAAGAGCAATCATTGACTTGTCTAACGGGTCTTCATGAGAAATAACTTAGAATGACTTTTTCAAATTCACTTTACTATTGACTCTAAGAGGAAATTGCAATTTAATTGTATTAATATTACAGGTTTCTATGTTCACTTAATTTTGCAAGCATTAAACATATCTCAAAGCTGTAAAGAATCCTTCCTTATTTAATACATCAGAGTTTTAACCAAAGAATACTTTTTTTAAAATTAAATTAGCCTAATCATCTGTAATTGAAAATTGCCCTATTAATAAATTCTTAGTTTATTTAAAATCTAACACCAATTTTGCTTTTACGACCTTATCATATTTCTCTTAATATGACCGCAAATCATTTTGATTTAATTCAAACATCCAAATTATATGATAATAAAATTAAATAATTTTTTTCTTTAAGAATACTATACGCTTTAATAAAATATAGAAATAGTAGAATAAAGAATATATTATTCTACAATCAAATAAATCAATATTCTTTTTAATGTACTCTATCTACTTAACTTGATATTTCTATTTAAATAAAATATTTAATAGAATTTATAAATCTATTTAATTTGTCATCAAATATTCTATTGAAATCAAAATTCATTTGGGAAAATAATATAATATTAAGAGATTTCTATATTATTGATTTCTTATAAAAAAATATTAAGTAAGAACAAAAAAAAATAAGATTGATTTAAAAAGTATAAAAGTAAAGCTAAAATTATAATTTCAGATTGAGAATAGATTAATCAGCTGTCATTAATGATGTTTAAAAATAGATGTAATTTTATTTATATAAATATTTAAATATTATTTTTATTGCAGTTAACAACTATGTCAAGTTCCCTAAAATAATCTGCACTATTAGCTGCTTTTAATCATAAGGGCATAAATCCATTACCAAAGTATGAGGACATCCGAATAGGTCCTCCAATAGTTCATTCCAAACCTTAATAAATCAAAGAGAAGTCTTATTTTTAATAATAAGAAAAAAAGATAAATCAATCCCAAGTTTAGAAATAAAATGGACCATAAGAATCTGCAATTGTTTAGCATATACGAATAATTTTTATGTTTTATGTATAATTTGGCAATAAAACAAACATTTAATATTTAAAATCAAGTAAATTTATTAAAGCTATTGCAGATGCTAATATAATTACATAGGGTATTTATAATATTATTAAAATTAGAATTAACTAGTAAAGATCTAGATATTTTATATTTCTAAACAACAAAAAATACAGAAACTTTAACCTTAGACTAATTTAAAGATTTACTTGTAAAAATAGCAACTAAATTATATAAATTTCCAGAATAATCAAAATCTTTTGTTTTACTTTATAAAAATCATTTATCTAAACTATATGAAAAAATAAATGATTAAACAGATTTTGGTTATGATTTAAAGAGAATTGAGGTTTGTCGTAATTAAATTAATGAATAATTTTTGGAAATAATCTCTTAGGTTTAAGGATTATTGTCTAAAATACATGGTTATATTTTTTTAGATTAAAGTTAAAAAGTTTCTTAAATTTAAAGTTAATACATGCATTTTCTATAATAATTTGAAATAATTCCTTTAATAATTACATAAACAAAGGGTTAGATGATATTTTTTGATTTGTTTCATAGAGATTCAATCTTAAATTTAAAGAATGATGGAAAATATTTATTTAATTTCTCAAAATTTGTTGAAAGTTTAATTATCATTTCATTTCATTAAATATAAGAAGATAATTAAAATGGATTAGATTTATTTTTTTAATTATTAGAAAGATTGGAAAATTCTTAAGGATTTTAATATTTTTCAAAGTAAAATAATTAAACAAAGAATGAATAAACTTAATTAGTGATGCCATTGAGTAGAGTAAATTCTGCAAAATAGAGTAGAATTTCAACAGTTTATTAATCTTAGTAATAATAATAATAATAAAATTCAAATTTAAAATAATCGTAATTATTAATTGAAGATTATAAATAATCATAAATTAATTCTTAAATACCTTATGAAAAAGAATTGAGAAATATATTTGAATATTATTCCTAAATAGGAGAACCATTAAATTTAGTAAATTTAAAAAGTATTAAATATAAAAAGCTTTTATAAAATTGTAATATTATTGGAAATTTGATCACTTAAGTAGATGCTGATATGTTTTATATATAATCAACACCTAAAAAGAAATTAGATTCAACCAAAAGTCCAAAATTTAAAGTTAATAAATTATATGATAATGATAATTAAAATGGTAAAATGGATTTTATAAATTTTTATAATTCTTTATAATTGATAGCAGAGAAATTTAATGGTAATGATATTACAGGATTAATTGAATAATATTTAATACCTCTTGAAACATAATTAAGAATAGAAAAATAAGAGTATATTTTATAGATTTTGATGTTAATTTTAGATGATCCCAGAATAGTATTATTATATAATAATTATTCTTTAGATTAAATTATTTGAAATTATGTAAGAACATTTTGAACCATATTATAACCATTATACAAAAGATTTAATGACACTTTCTGGATTTATGAAATTTAGTTAAGATTTTGAATTAGCAAATTCAATAGTATCTAAAGGATAACTTATGCATGTTTTCAAGGCAATTGCATCTCTAAATAATACTGATACAATTGATAAACATTAATTTGTTGAAGCCATTAGTGTAATAGCTATTTTAATTTACAATAATGTTAATGATAATGAATAAAAAGTAAATAATAATATAAATAATAGATAATATATTTATTAGAAAGAATAACTTAAAGTAATGGTGCAATAAAAGTATCTAAATAATTAGGAATAATGAGAAATCCATAAAATACAAATTTAATTTAATTGTTTCGTTATTAATCTCATAAAAATTTAATAAACAAAGATGAAATTAACTTTAATAAAATAATAAACTAAATTTAAGATGATTTTTGATTTAATATTTATTAATATTTATGATATATATATCATTTTCAATAATAATAAATATCATTATCATCATTTAAAGACTTTTCTTTAGCAGCAGAAGATTAAAAACTTTTAGAAAAACTAGAAGATCCTTAATTCATTCTAAAAGAATCTTCGAATTCGTCTTCATAATTTTAATTGCTTATTTCATTAATTTCTCTAATATCATCTGCATTAATCTCACTTTATGAATCAAAAATTGCTCTCCACTCTGGCATCTCATGTTAAGGATTATTATTTTATTGAAAATTTTATTGCTATTAAACTTATTAACTATTTTTCTAAGTTGTATTGTTGTTGAATTATTAAGCAGCAATGAGTTGCATTTCTTTAAATAAATCAGATTCTTCTGCCTTTTGTGTATCTAACTAATTATATCTGCATTTAGAAATATGATTTTCCATTCTTGATTTAAGAATAATATGCAAACAATTGTATGGACAAGTATCATATTTATGACCTAAAATAAATTATATAGATACCTTTTTCTCTCTTATCTTTGCATCCTTTAGTAATATGAAACCATAATTTACTAAAAGGCATTTAATGTTTCTTATTATATGGACAAATAACTTCAAAGTCATGACGAAAATCTCCTTTTTTAAAGCTCATTTATTATAAATTATAAAATTTAATATATAATTTTTTATTTATTTTTTAAGATAATTAAAAACACAATGAAGTCCAAAAAATAAAATAAAATAATTTCACACTTTGTTCTATTATCATCACAACATATGTAACATATTAAGAGTTTATATAATATTATATTTTAAATAATGATTAAATAGTATATAAAATTTGTAATAGAAAAATTTTACTATTCCTTTTTAAACTTCATATTATAAAAGAATTTTAATATTTTTGAGGAATTTATAAAAATACATCTTAACTTTCAATATATAGTATATTTAATATAAATAGTCATAACTTTGTTCAAATAGATTATCAAGTAATTTTTAAAGCTTTTTAGATTTATGGAAAAAATTTAACATCCAATGGTGATTAAATGTTCTTGTCCTGGCCTAAAAGGAATTGTAACATACTTCCAGGAGGTTAACAATCCTTTTCTAAGTTTGTTTTTTATTATTCATGCTTCGTTAGCAAATACTAGTTTGTATTGTGAGGAGAACTGAGTTCATATTCTTCAATTATGATGATTTGAATTATTTTTTTTATTTTTTTTTTTATTTTTATGCTACTCTTTGATTTCATTTCAGTTGTTCAAAGTTCTTTTCTTTTTTTAATGAGTTTCTCTTGTGCTAAATTGTTTACAAGCTTTTTTTAATTTACGAATGAAATATGTTGGAAAAATGCATTTAAAGTAAAATTTGAAGGGGGTTCTTATTAATTCTTCAGTATTTAATAGTGTTATAATAATTTAATTTTGATATTATATAATTAAATAATAATATTGAATACACTTTATTTAAATATTCTTATTTATTCTAAATCCTATTCAGAAGTCATTCTATACAATAATTAGTAATATAACTTCTAATATTTAAATTTATTTAAGTTTTCAAAAAAAAATTATACTGCAAAAGAAATAAAATTTAAATAACTTAAGCTCTTCCTCCATTTACCTTAATAAATGAAATTGAAATTTTGAGTATATAAATACTAATATTTTATGTGTTTCTAACATAATTTTGAATGTATTAATTTAAACTATTTTTAAATGAATAATTGAATGAAGCTTTAAAAAACAAATAAAGTCTGCTTTCCATATAATTTTAATATTTTTAAATACGAAATGCATAAATATACAAATGTTGTAACTCTTAGGATATGAAGATTTGATTCCTATGCTATCATTAACAATTTATAATATATTTTTGATAACAGAACCATAATGACAGAACCATATTGATTTATTCATAACATTTTAATGATTTTATTTAATATTTTTATAGTTTTATTCCATAACTTTTTTTGTAAGTGTTAAAAAATCTGAGAATATGATTAAGGCATGGATTTCAAATTATTACAATGATTATACATTGATTTCAGCTGTAATAAATTGATCTTAATATGTATCAAAGAATTCATGATTTCTTAAAATTGATATCAATCTGCTTAAAGTAATTCTTCAGATTCAATATTTCATCATAACGATTGGAGCACTATCAAATTAAGGAAAGAAGTAAAAGCTTATAAAAATATGGTATTTTTTTGACAATGAATGGTTTTGTTGGTTTTGTTGATTTTTCTTAAGTTCTCTTTAATAATTACAATCAGTTTATTGTTTCCTTATGAATTTTGAGAGGTTCAAAGTTGTCAATAATTTAAGAGATAAATTAAATATAGAAATGTGATAATTTGAGAATACTTAAAATAAATAATAATAATTTAGATGGCATAATACCACTATTTATTCAAATTTATTATAGTAGGAGATGGAAGTGTTGGAAAGTCTTGTATTTTGTTGAGATACACAGAGAAATAATTTCGAGATGAACATGACACTACAATTGGAGTTGAATTTGGATCTTAAGTTTTTGTAAAGAATGAGAAAACAATAAAAATATAAATTTGGGATACAGCAGGATAAGATTCTTTTAAATCAATTACAAGATCTTATTATAAAGGGTATATAGTAATAAATATAGTTTAGATCGATAGGTGTATTACTTGTTTTCGATATCACAAATGAAGAATCATTCCACAATGTATTAAAGTGGTATAATGAAGTAAATGATTAAGCTGCTTCGAATTGCTAAATAGTGTTGGTGGGCAATAAAGTTGATTTGGAATAACAGTACATATTATACACTATATATATATAATAGTCGTAAAATATCGACTCTTTAAGCTAAAGCATTTGCTGATCAATACAAAATGCAATACATTGAAACATCTGCAAAAACAAATTATAATATTGATTAATTATTTGAGAATACAGCCATGGAAATAGTTGACAAAATAGAAAAGAAATAAATTGAATTTACTACAGAAGTATGAATAAAATTATGAATATTAATAGGATAGTGGTATTAAATTAGGTAATTACTATTAATAATAAAATACAAAAAAATAAGAAGATGATTGCAAATGCTGATTATTAAAATTAACAAAGTATCATCATTTATTCAAAATAATAAAATGAATAATGCAAAGCATATCACAACTATTTGAGTAAATTCGAAATTATCACATCTCTCTTTGCATACTTTAATATTCTTCCACCAACTTGTAGTGTCTGGTTTTAAATTATAAAGCATCACTTCATTTACTTTGGTCACCTTATTTAAAATATATTCAAAATACCTCTGAATGATAGAAACTGGCAGATCCCATATATGATTCATTCATAAAAATCAGTACTTCTTATGTATCCCAATTTAATAAGATGTCTGCTTAAGTCCAAATAATTTTAGCATCACTTGAAACTGAACTATTATAAAATGTGATCATCTAATTATCATTGACTCTAACGAATCCAGCATATCCACATCTAAATGAGACTGCAGTTTTATCTGTGGCTGTATCCTTTAATCTTAAATTTGTGTCCTCAATTTCTTTATTTCCAGATGCAAACCAGAATCTTATATGTTAAGGTTAGGATTCTTGAAATAAATGATAAAATCCATCTTTAAAACTTAATTCTGATTCTGCCTTTTTGTGTAATTTTAAATACTTTCATAAACTCATAAATTAATTTACTTTCTCATTCCCTTATGTAATAAATTATGTCTCTAAATATTCTTCTGTCTAATTCATGATCCAATTTTATTCTATAACAAAATTACCTTCACCTTTTAGATAATCTGTCCCATCATATGCAGCATATATTAATGTTATTAATGTTGTGATTAATATCATTATGTAATAATAATAAAAGAAACCAAGTTGGATTCAATAATTATTTTGTGGCTGTATTAGAGAAGAACCTCTTTAATCAAATTAAAAATTGTAGAAACTCTCAACCCAGATGGAAATTCCTAGATCAAAACCACTTACTCTTATATCTATGCAAAATTAATAAGAAGGTTGGCTCAATTAAACAACTTCTTAAGAAATAGATTATTTTGAATATGGATAATAAAATGACAATGATTCAGATGAAGGTCATAAAATATATAATAGATAACTATCTTATTTGGAAAAACAATCACTTTTATAGAAAACTAATTTTTCAGACGTAATCAAATTAGTTTATATCCAAGGAATTTAACTCCAATAATATAGAAATGAAATTGCTACATCGTTGTGGAGGCTTATTAGCTAGACAATGTAATATTTAAATTGAGACATAATCTAATTAATGGATTACTAAAATTTTTAAAGATGTGTATTTGATAGTATAAGACAGAGAATTTGAATCCAAATTTAAATCTTAAATACTTAACTCTTCCATTGTTGATTCAATAAACAAAAGAATCAAATCCAATTCTATTTTATTAGCTCATGATCCCACTGGTTCAATTTTACTAAAGTTGGCTAGTCATACTAGAACTATATATTATTTAGAATCTGATAAGACCTATATTGATTTAATAGATAGAGGAATTTATAAGATGAATGTAAATGTTTAAAAAGTCTTAAAGATGGATTTGTAAAATAAAATTGATGTTGTAGTTGTTAATCTATATTTTATTGATTCCAAAAATAATCTAAGAAATATAATGCATGAATATCTTTAATATGCTCATGATATTATTATCATTTTACAGCCAAATATTGATAATTCTCTTATTTATTCTTAAGCAGAATAAGCAATTTCGCTTTCAGAATAATCCAAATAAACTTGTAGCATAGAATTATAAAATATTCTTGAAAATAATAATTGTATTGCTAAAATTCTTTATTTTGGTGGTGTTACTGAAGTATTTAATAAATTAGTTATTTTAGATTACTTTAAATGATGAACTAAACTTTGTTTATTCTTGTCTAGATTCATCAGTCAAGAAGTTGTACAATTATAAATTAATGTTTAAAGATCTCAGAAACCAAATGGGAATGACAAAATTAATTAAATTACTCAATGATTTTCAGATAATCTAAGGAATAGGGTAGTTTATTGAGTTTTCCACTAATATTAATGGATATTAGGATAAATATAGATTAATTAATAATCAAACTCAAGATTTCGAGAATGAAAATAAAAACCAAAAAGATGAGTTAATTGAAAAATAGTCTTCGTCTTCTTCAACAGAATCAGAACCAGAGGAGGATCAAAATTAAGAAAGACTTGATTTTAGAAGTGAAACTTTAAATTAATCAACAAACTCCATTTAATAACATCCTGTCTTACGTCATGCCAATTCTTAACCATTTGCTATATGATATGATGGCTAAATTATATTTTTATTGTTTATAAAATTTCCTTTAGATTTTATATTCAATTAAATTAATATATAATCATTAAATTAATAGTTTTTTTAACGATAAATAAATATAGATTATTGGTTCTTATTTTCATTAAGAAAATAATAAATCATATTATAAAATTTCAATTATTTTCTAAATCAATTAAATTGTTGAATCATAATTAAATTAAAAAGATATAATATTATTATATATTTATTTATTTTTCATTCTTTGAACTAACTACCTTCTGATGTTATTATATCAAATAAAGCTTTTTGAATATGAATAATGAAACTAAAACCAGCAAGGTTGCTTTGATGAAAATATCAAGTCAATCACCTCTAATAGCAATGTAAATGTCTTGAATTTATTCTTCTGACTACCAATATATTTATATATTAATTTCATTTCCCCTTATTATAATTTAACTCTAGCACTTCTGCTGTTAAATATTCCAAAATTGTTGATGTGAAAACTGCTTGTAATCCCTACTCTGTTTTAGCAGATATACTTTGCTTTGAATTTCGATGAATACGACTAACAAGGAACTAAATTTTCATAAATATTTACTAAAAGTCCAGCCTTCAAAAACCTAAATTGTAGAGCTTTCTTATTTTTACCAAATCCAAACTTTACACCTTTTGCACTCTTGGCAATTCCAGACTATAATGAAAATAAATATATTACCTTATATTTGTTATTTGAATATACTCGAATAATATCTTTTTGTATTTAGTTTAATTTAAAAAAAAAATTGAATTTGTTTTCAAACTAGAAACTCAAATAATTTATCTGGTTCATATACTATAGTTCTTCCAACTTTTAATCATTCTTTTAAATTACAATTTTTCATTCTGCTTAATTTATTGAAAAAAAATAATAAAAATATTATTATTTTTATTATTATAAATAAGTAAAGTAAAAATATCATAATTATTTACAGGGTTCTATTAAATTAAGTTTTTCTCAAAATATATAGTTTTGAAGATCTTATATAAGATTATCACTTTTATTTTAATAAAAATTTTGACATATTTATTTTATTACCAATAATGTTAAAGCCTCATCTTCAATTTCGAAATTATGTTATTTTTTATGAAAAGTAAAGCATAAATAAGGAGAAAAAACATAAAGAAAATGAATCTCAACATCTTCATGATTTATTGAGAATTCTTAAAGAAAATTCGATATAAAAATTAATGAATACTAAAAATCAGAGAATCCCAAAATTTGTGAGCAAATTGATTGAAATATTAGATGTAATCCAATTAAAAATATATAAAATAGAATTAATCTTATACAGAAATAATTAGTTTTGATGAAAAAGGCGATGGTATTATTATCCATCAATAGGAACTCTTTGAAAATAAGATTCTCTTAAACTATTTTAAGCATAATCATATTGATTCATTTACTCGATAAATGAATAACTACGGTTTTAAACGAGTGAAGAATCAATAAGGGAAGTATGAATTTAAAAATCCATTCTTCTAGAAAAATAATAAGTATTCATTTCTTTAATATTCCACTTAGAAATATGATTCATTTAGTGATGAAAAAGAAACAAGAAAAAATACAAATAATATCACAATTCTTAGCACTAAAATCAGAGTTAAACTAATTCTCATAAGAATTAGACTAATTTAATTTTTTCGCCTCTTCTGTATTACTTTAAATTATTTAAGTATTAATAAAGCTAATCTATTTTAACAGAATCTTAAAATAAAGCTAAATTAGAGATGATATCAATCTCATAAAAGAATCTTGAGATGGAATAAATGTTAAGCTATTTAATTTATGAAAAAAAAAATGGTATTGAATTGAATTGAAACTCTCAATTTTATGTTTAATTTTTGTTCAACAACATTCATAAACAATCTTGTAAAGCTATAAATTTTTAAGTCTTATTTCTTAATAAATATTATGGATTACAATTTCAAACTTAAATTTAAATAAATGGTATCATCATTTATAAATTACAAAATCAACTTAATGGATTATTGTTTATGAATTTAAAGTACAAGTTTTAAGAATTTTAAGGAATAAATAATCTTATATATATTCTTTCTCATTTAAATTAAATGATAAAGTCATTTATGATTATCAATTATCTTCCTCTTATACCATATCTTACTTTCTTAAGTACTCTATTTAGGTTTCATTTAATTGAATCATTTAACCATTTTCATCTAATAAATAATTACCTTCCTCATCTAATAAGAAACCATTTTCATCTAATTAATAAGTAGCTTCATTATCTTCATCATCATCATCTTCTTCTACTTTCTAATCATTTTTCTTCTACTAATCCTAATTCTCTTCCTTTGTTTCCACTATCTTTTCTTCTTAGATTTAGTTATTCTTAAATGGACTCAATGCTTTCAATTTATCCATAAATGCCTCTTTTTCAAATTCAGGTTCTATTTAATCCTAAATAAATTAAAATTGAAATATTACATTATTGTTTTATTCCGATAATTCATTTATTTAATGATCACTCTTACTTTCTGAATCTTCTTCATAATTAAATACTTAGACCTAAGCTTGTTAAATTTCAGGTTGTTTTTTATTATATTCATCAATCCAATGGGTCTATTCAGTCTATTTAAATGAAAACAGTATTTCTTAATGAGATTTTCTGATCTCTTCATTTGATTTATTTTATTAATCTATGAGATAATCAAACTAATTTTTATATTCTAAAGTGACTCTCTCAAATTATTTGGTTAGACTAGAAAGTTCTAATTTCAATTAAGTAATTCCATTATCATTTTCATCTTTATTCTAAAATATATAATTCAGTATACATAATCCACTTTTTATTCTAATTATTTAAGATTAAGTTCTTATTTTGAATTTTAAGATAGATGTTAATCTATTCTTAGAGATAATTCTTAGTATTACTAAGAAAGTAATTTTTATGAATTTTATAGATCATAAACTCCTTGAGTAATTTTATTAAAATCTGCTTATTAAAGTGTTAATTCTGTTAATCTAAATAATAAAATATCAATTACTTATCAGATTATGAAAATGTTTTTTGTTGGATAAAATTTTAAACTTATTACAACTTAAATTCAATATCATCTGAAAGTTTTTTGTTTGCTATAGCAATATTATTTTATTAATTATTTTAGAATGTCTTTAATTAAGCAATCGTTTATTCTTCTTAAACACTAATTTTTTAAGATTACTCCAATATATTTTTTTCTACTTTAGTCATTTATTATCTAATTTACATTCATAGATAATTTTACTTAATTTTTTAATCATATAATGCAAATTCATTATGTTGAGAATCAAATAATAATTAAAGATCTTTAATTTTTTATTGAATGTCCTTTATTATTTTATCTTCACTAATATTAATTTGAGGAGGTATTCTTAATTGTGAGTCTTCTTTTAATTTAACTAAATTTTACTAGTTTTCTTTTTATATAAATTTTAATTTATTATCCGTCTAATCCTGTAATTCTTTAAACTTTATTTAATAATCGTTTTAAAAATTAACCTGTTAATTCATTAATTCTTCTTAAGCCTTTTTTATTTATGTTTTGATCTTAAATATTAGAAATTGAATTTACAGATTCTTCAAAATATTTAAATTTTATGCTTAATTATTCTGCATTAATTGGATTTTATCCTCTAATATCAAAAATAATAGTTCTATTTGAATCTATCTGATTTTACAATTCTTTCATCTTTATTTCTTATGCCTATGATTTTTCTATTATTAATTAATTGACATGTTTCAAAATTTATTAAAATCCAGCATCATCAATTTTATTACTTAAGAATGAAGCATCATATGATTACATTGCAGTGCTTAAAGTTGAAAATGGAGAATTATGTTGAGGTGCTGTATTATATAGAAATTATACCCATCAACAGATGTTCTGTATTTTTCATATTAGCAATCTTAGTATCAGCTTGTCTACCAGTTTAAATTTGAGTAGGTTAATTATACGTATAATTTTATTATCCTTACTTATCTGAGAAAAATATAGGTTTTCTACTCATTATATTGATAGAAATTTTAATGTAATTAATAATAAATACTCTTTTATAAATTAATATTCATAAACAATTCATAAATTAAAATGACTACTTGGCTTAGAAGTTTAAATTAAAATTACTCTAAGAAGTAATGTAATTAGATTAATTTAGTTACTCCTTAGACCATTTAAATAATAAACCAATATTCACATATCATTAAAATTTATACCCATCGAATAAACTTTATACACTTTTTCTTCTTAATAAACTATGGCATTCTTCTTCTACTTCACTATCTGCTGATATCTGGTTTTAAAAATCACTATTACCATCAATAGACTTATTATTAAGAGATATAAGTTACTCCTGGTATATATAAAGATTTCATATCTTTATTTAATAATTTTGCCCATTAAACTCCCTTTAACCATTAATGATGAATTATTTCTTCAATTCCTTCAAATCCTAATCTTTATTATGGTTTACGAATAAGTAACTAACTTTTATTAAATAATACCCTATTTATAAAATCTATTGCTTTGCTACTAACATTAAGTGTTCCTTCTTTAATAGATACTTACTTAGCTAAAATTTGTTCTCTAATTTCTTATCTATTTTTTCCATTATAGGGCCTTTTACCAATTAAAATTTCATATAGAATAACTCCTAATGCATAATAATCAACAGGATAGGAATGCTCCATTTTACACATAACTTCAGGTGCCATATATCCTGGTGTTCCAGAAGTATCATTTGCAACACTTTCCTTATTTAATCTAGCTACTCCCAAATCTGTTAAATGTAAAAAACCATCTTTATCGAAAACTAAATTTTCTGGTTTGAGATCTCTATGTATAATACCATTCTAATGTAAATATTATAATGCTAAAAGTATACAACAAGCAAAAAATTCTAATTTTAAAAAATTTTGATACTTGCTTGATCTTCAGTAAATCTTTTTAGTTTACCAATATGGAATCTTAAATCTCCTCCTCTTAATAAATCTAATACAAGATATAAATTTTCTCTATCTTAAAATGCAAAATGCATATTGACAATAAATGGATGACGAAGATGTTCCAATAAGAATTTTTCATTCATTACTGAATTAACTGATCTTTTCGAAATAATTCTAAGATATAAGAGAATATACTTTGCTTTGATCATTTCTTTTAATGCGAATTCTTTTTTAGTTTATTTCATCTCAACTCTCCATACTTTTCCAAAACCTCCTTTTCCAATTACATATATAAATCTAAATACCAACCTACTTATTGTAGTAACTTATAATTATGTAGGTTTGAGTTAAATAACTTCTTTTTGAGAATAATTGTCTAAAGATATTTTTCTTGAATGAGATTTTGACAATAACCATGTAGATGAATTTGTAGATGAATCTTAAGGTTCATAATTTTGTTTTCCACCATAATATGTTTACTACAACAATTAATTTGATGTTTATCTTGATAATTTTCGCGATATTAGGCCTTAAATTTAACCTATGCCTTATTTTTCTATCTTTCCTTGTTCAATTATTACTGAATGCTTTAATGGTTTTAGAGAAATCATTGATGATGATCTTTTTCGAGAACATATTAAACAACTCATTTAATTACATGAACAAGATTCTTCATAATTTTGTATTGCTTAAAGTTTTATTTTTATTTTTGACTGTTTATTTTACATTAAAGGTATTAAATCTTTAAGAGATGCATATGCTGATTTCATTTTATCTAATGAAATAAATTATATTTTATAATTTATATTTGTATTTTATAATTTATATTTGATTTCAATTCTTATTAGATTTACAAAAAAATTTCCTTTCGTTTGGTTAGTTAGTCTTTATCAAAAATTTCTATTGTACATTTTCATTTAGACAAAATAAGTATATTTTTGATAAGAATTTGACATATTAATTTGCTGAAATTTATTATATAGATAATTTTATGTGAGATTCAACATATTTATAATTTAAAAAATTTAGATTGTAGTATCATTATTTAACCAATGAAATCATTTTCTATAAATCTAATTGCATTTCTTCTTATGTTATTTATTAACTAAACCCTCCATTCTTTTTCAATAGTTCATCTAAATAACTTGATTTACTTGAATAAGTTGTACTAAAATATGATGTACCATTATTATTATTATTTAGAGGAGGTTCATATGTACTATTCTTTCTTTTATGAATTTTCTCCAAGAATTTAAATCCCTTTCTGTTAATCTATCTTGGTAGAGGTTTCATATTTCTTTATTTTTAATCTTCAATTCTACACCATGGACAAATATATTTAAATTTCATATCTTCTACTAAACATTCAATACTATGAATTCCATTTTTGGCTTCACAAGATAAATGAGTCTTAAATTAATTATTATAATTTAATACCCATTTGTCACACTTTTCCTAATCACAAGCAATCCATTTTTGACCATCCAAAAAATTTTCATTTTGATCACTATAAACCTAGAATATATGTATATATACTTAAGCACAGAAATAACAGCACTTTTTCTCTTTGTATAATTCAAAACATTCTTTACAAAAAAATAGAATTTAATCACTAAATTTAGCAGGATAAACATTTTATGATTCAATTGTACAATATTAATTCATACATTCATCTTCTTGAATTTTATCTTAATCATCCATTTATATTCAAAATAAAAATATTTATAATATCATTAGAAATTTTCATAAAGATAATTAATGATCATATCTGGGTCATCTCTATGAATTGCATATGCTTCAACTACTTATTCAAGTGTAAAGAATCCCATATCCATAACTTAAGCAATAATTGGATTATTCATGGGATCTTCATAAATAGTTTTTTCACTTTCTTTCAAAGCATTTTAAAATTATGTATCTTCAAATTATTACATAAATTATTATTCTTACTCTTATTTGCTTTATTCCATTATTTTTCTCAATATTTCACTTTCCAAATTTGGTTGTTATTATTGTTATTATTGTTATTATTATTATTACTATTGTTATTATTATTATTATTATTACAATTATTATTGTTATAATTATTAAGTTTACTTTTACTATTATTGAATAGGAAATTATTGATTAAATTAAGCATCTTAAACACTTTCCTTAATTACCATATCCATAAGTTATTCCTCTTCTTCTTCATATTCTAATTATTGCAAAGATTCCTTTATAGCAGTTTATTCACTATATAAAATTAAATAAAAATACTTTTTTAGTTATTGATCTTAGAATAGTCTTTTAGATTCATTAAAAATTATATCTAATTCATTGCTAATGCAATTTTCAAATTAAGCTCTTGATAATTATTATCCATGTCTATTATTATTATTTACACTTTATTTGTTTTTCTGTTCTTATAATTTCTCGAACATTTGCTTTTCATATTAACTAATTTCTAAGCTCCCTAATAAAGCTGAATGCTATTTATCTTTTAATTTTATTGAATTATAATGAGATCTTCCATGATATGACAATCTAATTGGTCTAATAAAAAATAATTAAAATATAATTACTCTTTATTATATGGATTAGCTTCTAATCCAGTTTTTAATGGTTCTTTGCTGCACACATAAATTTCAATTGGAATATCATAAAGCTCTCTAAAAGCTTGTAATTCTATATTGTCTCCCCATACTCCATCTTTTGATTTATATTCTACATATTCTTCAACATTTCCATTTATTATATAATCTTAGAAATAGTCCTTTTCTTATAGTATGTATTGCATTGCAAATTTACGTAATTCCTTATGATAGATTTCATTTCCATATAGTTGATCACTTATAGCTCTAAACATACAATTGCCATCCCCTGAAACCTCTCTAATTAACATTCCCTATTCACTCAAAATAGATTGTAAGGATGTCTCCATTTCCTTATATTTTTTACGCATTGTTATTAGATTTTACAATTGTAAATATAGATTGAATCGATGCTATAATCTTAGAATTGATTATGGTTATTATTTTAATAATTTCCCTATTCCAGGTTCATTAGAGTTCTAACCAAGAGGATATATGTCCTTGACTAAATAATTCTAATCGTAAATTCTCTTGTATCCCTAATGATGTATTAGAGCTTAATCCTTTTCGAGCTGTACTACTATACCTATCAACCATCCTTTATTAGAATTATAAACTTCAACTCTTGTATTCTATAATGGGACACCAGGAATCCATTATTTACGAATTATTTCATATGAAAATTATATCCAGAAAGTATTAGAGGAATAAGGAGATTATAGTCTTATATTTGAGTTTTAAATATCCACAATTTTCATTGTTGCCCATTTATTTGTATTTGAATCTAAATAATCAATGTATTCTCCTATTTCTAATAAGTGACTCAAGACTTATTGTTCCTAAGGGCATTCCTAATTGACCTATGTCTATACTTTATTACCATTTATTTTACTTCATCATCTTGTAATTCCAAATCTATTTCTTCTGAAGATGAATTATCATTATTTTGATCTCCCGTGTTAATATCAGACTATTCCATAGTGCTTTAAAATTAAAGAATATTATTTTATAATTATTAATAATAGATTAAAACAAAAATTCGTATAAATTGTTATTTTAGCAAACATTTCATAAGAGTCATAAAAGAAATATAAAATAGATGCTGAGATATATCATAATAATGACTTAATATATAACTAAATTTCATTTTTTTGTTTAAATATTTACTTACCTTTAAAATTATTGTTAATGTATTTACTCTTTCAAAATATCCATCCCACTTGTTAATTATAATATTTGATTTTTTAATTATAACACTTCTTATTCATATTATGATTACTTTTCTAAGAATTTTTATTCTTAACAAAATAATTTAGTCTTTAAATTTGATATTTAAAATTATTGTTGTTGAATGATATAATTTAAATTACAAATATTGCTAGTATTTGGAACATTTTCTGATTAATCTTATTCTGAAATTTTATTAATACATTTCCTAGAAGATTTGTCTTAGTTTATAAAGCTTTCATGTTTTATTTCTTATTAAGATCTATGAGTCATAAATCTTTCATTTTTTTGAACTATGCATTGTATTTTCTCTAAATGTTCTAATATTTCTTATTTTAAACTAATTTGATTTTCTAAATTATTTACTTCAAATTATCATCAATTATTTCTTGTTTACAATTACAATTACTAAATCTAGAATTGCTTGTTTAACATTCTGTTTTTTAAGGTGTTGATCGAGTAACAGTATTATCTTCATATTCTTCATTCCCTTTATAAAATTCTTTACGTTTTAATATATCCTTTAATTTGAATGTTTCACTTATATTTTTTGTTTTAGTCTTCAATTGTGTCTATGTTTTATGATTTTCTTTATCCTTTGAAACACTTCTATTAGGCTTGGTTTATCCAACCGAATTTCTTGTACTTTATTATTTCTTATATCCTATTTCTTAATCATCAATGCTTTTTCTACTCTTATTTTAATGTAGTTACATTAGCAGTTAATTTTTTATAATATTCGATATATATATATAATATTTATATCATAAAATTATATATTTTATAGTTTTTTTTCATATGTCCCTTTCTATCTATTATTAGAATTACTAAAAAATAAAAAAGGAATAATTTTCATAAATTTTAACAAATTATTTTAAGATTTATACTAAAAAATCTACATATAAATATTAAATCAATTCAAAATCTTAAATAAAATTTTCCTTTATAAATCAAATATTGAAATAGAAGAATAAAAATATATCTTAAAAATCATTTATTTATTGATTATTATAAAAATATAATATGAATAAATACTTAGCTTATTAATTTGTAGGAAAAAGTGATGGTCTTCATAAATTGCCTGATCATATTCAAAAAATAAAGAAATCTCTAGGTTTTGAAGAAAAGGAAAGAAAGGTAATAGAAGAATTAATACCTTAATTGAAATAAAGAATAAGAGCACAATCTATCCCTGAGAAATAGATTCCAAAATAAATACATATGAATAATCTTGCTAAAAAATTGGCTCATTTGAAGTAAGAGTATGATAAAATTAATGTTGAATTAAATAAGCATTAATCTTTTAGAACTTAGATTACAAATCCAAAAACAAGTTTTGAATAGCATTTCTTTTAAGTTGAATAATAGATTCATATTTGGGAAGAATAAAAATCCAAGCTGTCTGAATAAATAAAATAAATTAAAAAAGAACTCTTTTTCTTGGAGAATTAATCAGATACATATACTTCAAAAAAAATAGTTACCAATTAATCTGTTTTATTAAGTGAGTTAGTCACAATTGAAAAAAAGATACCTACTCCATCTAAACTACCTAAAATATTTAATTAAGAAAGTCCTATGTACACATAACCTAAACCATTTCATTCAGATATTAAAATGTTAAATAATACAAATGATTCTAATTTAATAGATTTATTAGAAAGTGATGAGGATTAAGATTTAAGACCTAGAACAAGAGTCACAAAAATAAAATAAAAATAATAACCAACTTTAGAATAAATAATTAGTTAATTAGATTAGTTTGTTGTAAAGAATGACAAATTATAACCTCATAAAGAAGCATTAAAATAATTTAGATTGGCTTAGTATGAGAAATATTTAATGAAATTACCGAATATTTAAATAAATACAAATCATGATATAAAAAGATTATTATCTAATAAGAGAATTAAGAATATAAAATATGGATTTGCAGCTGTTTTTTTCTGCTTTTGTTTAATTAAGTAAACTAAAATATCTCAACAAAGATATTAGTTAATTTCTTATTCTTATCATTAAAATAATTATTAAAAAGCAAATTAAGAAGTTTTATTTTTTGTTAACAACGTAATAGCTAAATAAATTTTATTCAAATTTAGTCGTTTGTAATAACTGTAGAAAGCTGAAAAAAAACAGCATAAAATAATGATTCCATTAATAGCAGAGGAGATTGTTAGAGAAATTCTGTAGAAACTGACAAATTAAAAGTTTTCAAATTAATTTTACATTTTCTTAAATTCTATATCACAAGAAGGATTTTATCCATTATAAAATTATCATAGTGATATAATCAAATCAAGATTTTAGATATCAAAATATTTTTCATATTTGTTGAATGAATGTAAAAAGTTTGTTTTCTTTGAATTTGTTTTAATTAAAAATATTATCTTTTATGGATTGATATTTAAAGCTAAAGAATTATTTGGTTAATTAAAAATAGATGCAGATAATGAATTAATTAATTCTGTTACATTAATATTATTTGAATTATTTTTAAGAACTTTACAATCTGGTATTATAAATGTAAACTTAAAACATTTTAGTTATGCATAAGCTGATGGTCCATATATATAAAAGTATTTAAAAGAATTAGATCTTATAAAAATGAAAATTTTAACTACTTTATAAATAGATGATATGATGAAACCATTTATTTAAATGATTGAAAAATAACTTATAAATTACTCACAATGATTATTTATAAAATACTCAATAACAATTTAGATTTTTTTGGATTTTAAAGAGATTTATTAAATGATTTCAGTATTTTAATTAATTAATGAAATTTATTTCTAATTAAATTTCTAAATCATTCAATATAATAAAAAGTTATTTTCATTAGATAATTGTAAAATTATATTTTTTTTTTGATAATCTCATTTAAACTTCTCAAACAAGGGTTTATATTAATATCTGGCATAAGTGATAGAATTTTATAGATTTTTCTTTGTCCCTGCAGTGAGCTTGTCAAATGAATCTAAACAAAGTTTTTATCCCTTATGCAAGAATTCCTCTACTTGTTTTTCCTTGATTTCTTTGTCAACTTCATTAAATATATCCTTTCTCTATTATATACAGTAGGCAAAATGAGCCAAGAAATTTCCTAATTAATTCTTATCTTCAATATTCTCTACTTTATTATAAGCTTCTTCACTATGCTATTATAGAAATTTAGATTAATACAATTTTAGAAAATCTTAAATGATTTCTCATCAAATAATCAAAATGAATTATAATATTAGATACGTCAATTTTAAATCTTCTAGCCTATGACATTATAATATTAAAACAAAATAAAAATGATTGTTAATGTGTTCTAAATCATTTATTTAATATTTTACTTTTCAATTAATTTACTCAATAATGGAGTTTGTTAGTGTTCCCAACCAACAAAAAATTGTATTGAATTTCTATATAATACTGTCCAAACCTTTTCATCATCTATGTAATATTGCTAAGAAACTTGAGTAAATGATCTGAAATTGTAAATATCCAAATATCGTGCATTATCTAATATTACTCTATAAGCTCTATCAAATATTTCCCAATTCTTCTTGACTTCATTTGGATGATGAATATTCAATTATTTAATAGCTTTCCATAGTTTAAAATCTTAAGTGTGAACAAAAGTGTCATTATTAAGTATACTCAAAATGAAATCTAAATCTGTAGATTCATATTTCTTATAAATATTAAAATAAGTACTAATTTATGAGGAGGATTGTTTTTTTAAATTTCAATAAATTTTGCATGATCATAATAAAGATGAGCATTTGGAATATCATCTGGTATTGAAGGTTTTCTTAGCATTCTAGTTTCTCCTTTTGGTTTTGATAACCCACGTCTAGTATACCTAGGATCTTTAAGTAAACTAGGAATAGTTGATCTATGGGAATATTTTGAAAAGCCTTAAATAATTTTCTTAAACATATATATTATTTATATTGATATACAAATTTTAAGAGATGATTTAATATATTGTACATAATTTTCATTATGATTTAGAAATACATGACTTATATATTATGTATATATAAATCCCTTGATATAAACATTGATATTAAAAAATGAATCAATATTTTTGATTATTGTTCTAATGAATTGCATAAAATAATTACAAATTAGTCTTAAAAATAGTATTAAATTTTAAGAAACAGTTTTTATTGAGTTTAATAGTAATTGTTTTCTGATTAATGGATTAAGAATGATTTTATTATTAATCTTTAGATACATCTATAATTTTTATTTTTTTCAGTTCTTATTTCATATTGGAAAAGAACTAAGCATATAAAATTATATTTGAAAGAGGGAAATGAATTTGATTTTTCTATTTTTAATTAATTAAAAAACCAAGCAGTATATCAAGGTGTCAAAAATAAGATTACTTTATTAATTTTTATTTGGTCATCATTAATTTTACTTTTTACAAATTTAGTTTATTTATTCTAATAATATCCTTAAGAAGTGGTTCTAATGGTTATTTTTTGATTTCATAGAAATATTTTAGATTAAAATATTATTAAGTGATTTGAAATATTATATAGAAAACTCTATTTCTTTAAAATTTTGAAATAATTAATTAAATGAACAATTAGAGCTAACCAAAAGGATATATGGGAGGTCCATATATAGGAAATATTTATGGATAATCATAATAACTGGGAAATTAATAATTCAAAGACTTATTTTAAACTTTAGCAAAGGAATTCTAATATAGTATTGTAAAAGCACCTAATGAATATACACAATCTGCTATTGTGATGTTAAGAAATTTTTAGATAAGGATGTATTGTAATGCTCTATTTTAGTGATTAGAATTATAATATTGGTATACCTCCAACTTGTTCACTCAATAATGCTCCATATGATTACACAAAATTTTATTAGTGGAATAATAATTCAACTCATCTTGCATTAGTCCATGCTATCTAAGATTAATTGGAACTGCAATTAAAAGTTCTAAACAAGTACTTGTTATTAATATATTTGCAGTCCAATTGTAAAAGAGTATTGTGAATTTGTTACTTCTCTTCATGTAGATGAATGTGTTAATAGAATTAAAAGTATGCCATTATCTTAGATGTTACCCAACATTTAAGTGTCAGAATATCAGTAATGGATGAGTTCAGATGAAAAACAATAAGTTTTAAAGGGACATCTATCACAGATCTAAGAATTAAAGAATTTAAAGGAGAAAATGTTTTAATATGTTTAATAAAATGAAATTATTGCTGGTAAAAATATAAATATAAAAAAATTAGGATTAATTGAGGCTAATGATTAAGAAATTATGACAAAAATAGAAAAATTACTTTTTAGAACTAATTAACTTGAAGAAGAAAAAAAGAATTATTTATAATTATAAAATAGAAGTAGGACATTGAGTGAACGATTTTAAGATTATAAAGTGAATGTCTTATTTTAATAAATTTGTGAAAAATATGATGAATTATCTGATAAATTATTGGAATCTGAATAAAATGTAGATTATGAAGATTGTAATATAATTATATAATAAAATTAGAGGCTAATTAATATTTTTAAAATAGAAGAAAGTATCAAAAGACATTGGCACTTTCAGAGAAATTCAGACAAATGAAATAGATTTGATGGAAATATATAATTAGATATGTTAATTAAGCAAATTTCCAATAATTTTAAAGTCATTTCATTTATCATTTATTTTTGACAATCAGATGGAGTAATAAATATTTTATCTTATTATAAACATTTATAAAAATCTTTTATTTTAACTTAATATTTTTAAGATGTCTGGTAAATCATCAAAGTTTATAGAAAGAGGAATCATAATATTCAGAACATCCAGGAGGTTGGATAGAATGGTTTTGTGCACATGAAGATCATCAATTTTTATGTGAAGTTGATGATGATTATATTTGTGATCCTTTCAATTTAATTGGAATCAAAGGGAAATTCAATTTCTTTAAGTAATTATTGATAATTAATTATTCTAGTGAAGCTATCAATATGATTTTATAACCTACTTCTCCTGAAGATTAAGATTTAGAAGATGAAAGGTTTACTTATATTACATGACAAAAGATTTTTAGAAGTTTATTAAGAAGCATCAGACATTTATGGTTTACTACATGCTCGATTCATATTTACATCTAAAGGATCAGCAATTATGCGTGAACGATATTTATAAGGAAAATTTGGTCATTGTCCTAGAATATATTGTGAAAAACAGAATGTGATACCTATTGGTTTATGTGAAGATCTCAAAACTGCTAGAATTAAAGTTAATCAAAATAATCTAAATAGGTATTTTGTCCAAGATGTGAAGAAGTATATATGCCAAAAAAGAAATGTGCTGATATAGATGGAGCATATTTTGGAAAATCATTTCCTCAATTCTTATTAATGGTTATTAATTTAAATATTTAGATATAGACTTATCCAGATCTTCATCCAAAATTTTAGTTATTACCAGATACTTAAATCTAAGTAGATTTTGAACCAACATTATTTGGATTTAAAATTGCAGGTAAACAAGGTAGTAAAATGAAGAAAATTGAATAATAATAGTAATATAATCACATTATTACATAATCAAATATTTAATAAATAGAATAAAATATAATTAAATAAGAGCAAAAGTAATATTAAATATAAAAATAATAATAAAAAGAGCAATAAGATTAATAATCACATTAATAGCAATAATCTGATTAGAACAAAGAAAAATCTCATAAGAAAAAGAACAAAAAAAAACATAAACAATGAATTTACATTATTTTGGGTTTATATATATATAATTTATTTAATTAACAATATCAGTCTCACCCTCATTTTTATCATAAATTATATTAATATATTAAATAAATTTTTATAATTGATCTTAAAATCAGCTGTAAAAATAAAAATTGTTTTCAATTATCAATTATATTACAAATTAACTATTTCTTATAAATTAACATATTGTAATTTATTAAAATATTGAATTATAATATATTAAAGTTCCTTATATAATATAAATTATATCAAATAAGTTTAAACTTCAATAAATATTGAAAGATATCAAAATAATAATGATCTAAACCAAGAGGACATTCAAAAATAATATCTAAAGATTATGATAGAAGATACCTTTTAGATGAATAAGAATGATGAAATGGATAATTTTATGATAAAATATGAAGATATATTATTATTATAAACCAAAAAGCATAATTTTTTAACTCATAATATACTTTTTTTTTTAGATTTAAAATGTTTATCAAGATATAAATGTCTTTAAACTATCAATTTGAATAAAAAGAAAAATAGATTGATGAAATAATATTATTTTCTAAATATTAAGGAGGAAGTAGATTTATTAGCATGGAAGAATCAAGAATTAATATATATTTTTGTTTATCTAATATTTGTAAATAAATAGCGATATATATCAAATATTAATTAATTATAATTCAAAGGATTGATAACAATAACTATTTTTAGTGAAACAAAAATATCTTAATTTATTTAAGATTAATTATAGCTAATACATCTTAATTTATAATTATTATAGCGTAAGTTAATAAAATATCATCATCTATGACAATGAAATATGATGTACCTTGTTATAATAATTATTATAAAATTGATTATTTATAAAGATGATATTAATAATTGTTAATTTAATTCGTAACGAAATACGTAAATAATATTTATACATTTGATAATTGTCAAAATGTATTTCGTAAGCAATTAGCATGAAATATTGAATTCTAAACTCATTTGACATTACCAAAAATCATTAATAATACTTAAAATGTAAATAAAAGTCAGCCTCATCTTCCATATAGGCCAGCAATTGCTGATAAATTCTCAATAAAATTTAAACTGTGCAGTATTAGAATCAGATGGAAATTCTTGTGCAATAGCTGCTGCAAAGCTAGTAATTAAGTAATTTGGATCAGTAGATATTACAAAAACTAGTTTAAATACTCATAGCTTTGAGAAAATAATAAATTGGGATGCTCACTAATAAGCTAAAGACAGTTACAATTATATTAGAGTATAATTCTTTCATTAATTTCTTAGGAACTCGAAATATATAGGAATCCCTTTTTTTACCTTTGGACTCGTTACTTTACAACTGCACCAATATGGGAGATCGAAGATCACACATATTACATAATTGAATTAACGGAATAAGATTTGAATTTCTTTTGTTTCAATAACCGAAGGGAATTGAATAAAAAACATACAATCGAATAAGTTATACTTGAGGGATTGCACCTAAAATATAATCGAACTATCATATTTCTATGTGTGAAAGACTTTGATTAAGGAAGATATCATGCTCCTAAGATGTATATTGATACTGTTGGTTTATTTAATGGAATATATAGAAGGAAATAAGAAAGATGGTTATGGTATAATGTTACTTAAGGAAGTTATCCTGATGAGGATACTCTTAAATAAACTAATGTTATAATAATACCAGGCAGTACTAGCTCTGCTTATGATGAAAAAGCTTGGATTCGTAGTTTGTAAAACTTTATATTGAATGTATATGAGAATCATATATAAATAAAAATTATGGGAATTTGTTTTGGATTTTAATTGCTTGCTTAAGCATTTGGAGGAATTGTTGTACCCTGCAAAAATAGAATAAAACATAAAGGATTTTATTATTATGGAAATGAGAAAATTACAATTAAGAATGATTTTTTTTAAATTGAATGTTTCAAAGATTTAACTTAGATTGATAGCATAATAATTAATAAAGCTCATGGTGATATAGTTACTAAATTACCTGAGAAATTTATTAATTATGGATCATCTAAAACAGCTCATAATGAAATATTCATATCTGAAGATTTAAGAATATTTGGAATGCAATCTCATCCAGAATATACATCATAATAAATTTTATTATTTATTAGTGGAATATAATCAAGTTAAGGAAATAAAAGTTTTGAAGATTATTATAATGATACTAATAATAAGAATTTTGTAAAGGAAAAAGGTGATTTCTTAGGATTGTTAATGTGCCACAACTTTTTACAATCTTGAATATATATATATATTAATTGATTTTAATAGATATTTAATTAAGAATATTAAAAAATTCGATAAAAATAAATAAATTCTTCAAGACTTAAACACAAAAAAAGAACAATCTCTTAAATCAAAAAATATTGCAAGGACAGCATTCATCAAGATCTTCTTAGGGTTCTTTATGGAAGTACTTAATTTAGTATAGAGATTCTCCAACAAATTGATCTCGAAATGTAATTTTGTGAATTTTCTAACCTTTGACAATTTCATTTTTAAACATATCTAATCTTTAATTTTATCTTTTAGAAACTCTTTCTGTTTCAGGATTGATATCTGTTTAATCTCCATCTGCTTTAATTAAATTCTATAATTTAGGTTCAAATTAATGCACAATGATTTTTATTTTTGATAATTAGTATTCATGTAACACAGTCTTTTGAGTTGAAGACTATATAACACTAACATTACTAAAATCTGAATTTCTATTCTTAGGGCTGAAAACATCATTATTTTGCATTATTTTTATTTTTCATTTCAAAGAATTGAAAAAATTGTAATAAAATTATAATCATATTAAAAAAGATTGATTTATAATCAGGCTAATAATATTATTAATGGATCATAATTTAAGAAAACTGTATATATACAAGCATCAGAACTTTAAGTGTATTTAATTAATTATTGATAAATAGATTTATAATAATATGTTAGTATGTTAATATATTATTGTAGAAAAATAACAAAAATTAGAATTAAATTAATGGAGAAAGTAATTTAGATATATAAGTAATATAATAAAATAATAATTAAAATTGAAGTGGTTTAAGAATGACTATATATCTTGACTTAATAATATACATCACAAATCTGTTTTTTGAGCATTCAATTTAGGTAAATTAGAGAATGATTATCCAGTTTCAGTTTTCTTGATGACTCCCCTAACAAATTCATTCAAATTATCAACATTCAATTGTCTTCTAAATCTATAGTGTTTTTTAGCATTCAAATCTAATACAACAACTTAAGGATATCTAAAAATTTAATAAGATTAGAAATATACCCTTCACCAATTACATTGAGTTCAGCCTCAAAATCGTCAAATTGTTCTCCTACAAACCAACCAACATTAGCTCTTCCTGTAAGAGATAAGGCTGTCTAAAATAATAGAGAGATGATAATACCTTCTTTAATACTTAGACTGCATCTTCTTATTCAACTTTATCAGATGGTAAGAATCCTAAAACACAAAGTTCTTTTATTATAGAGAATATTGATACATTTGCAAACTTCATTTAAACTGTCATCAGATTTAATGTTAACAACATCAGAACCAGACATTTAAGATTATCCATCTACTGGTTTCTAATCTTTAATATATTTTAATAGAGCAGCTACATTTCTTTCTCCCTCATACTTTTTATGAGTATTTTATTTGTTTCCAGCTGGGAAGAAATAAATGGTTGGATATGATTCAATATTAAATCTCTTTGCCAATTCAGTTTAAGCAGTTGCATCTACTTTAGCAATTGGAATATCAGCTTAATAAGATAATTTATTCCATTCAGGTTATAATTATTTACAATGACCACACCAAGGAGCATAAAATTCTACAAACCAAGCTTCTTAACTATTAATCACTTATTCATTGAAATTGGCATCTGTCAAAACAACAACTTTTGAATCATCATTTGAAGGTTCTGGTTTGATCTCTACACCCAATCTATTTAATGCAAATTCTCTTGCTTTATCTAATAAGTAATCAACTATAGCATTCTTTTTTCTTTCACCTTCATAAGCTATTGGATCTGCCTTATTTACACCAAAATATTTTATAGTAGGATATCCATTAACACCATATGGTTATCCAGCTTCACCATCAGTTGTCATATCCAAAGCTCCAATATGAACTATTCCATCCAATGCTTTTGCTGCCTTATTATACTCTGGAGCAAGGGCTTTACAATGTCCACACCATGGTGCATAGAATTCAACCATCCATGGTTCATTTGATTCAAGTACTAATGTTTTGAAATTGTCTTTTGTGAGTTTCACAACCTTTGAATCTGCTTCATACAGACCAAAGCATTAAGTGGCTACCAAAGAAAAAATAAGTAAATAGCAGATGCCTTTCATACAGATTTTAATTTTAATAATAAATGATGTGTTCGAAATATTCTAGAATTTATAATAAGAAGACTATTTTTATATGAAATTATACTTATACTTTATATATATTTTTGTTATTTTTAATTTAAATTATTCTTCAAACATTCATTACTCATATGGATCCTGCTGAAAAGAGAATGAAAGATATAAAAGAAGCTTTCGATTAGTTTGATACTGATAATAAAGGCACTATATCAACAAAGGAATTAGGTATTATTCATAATAAGTTACCTTTTTTAGCTAATATCTTAAAATATTTGGGCCAAGACCCTTCTGATGAAGAGTTGGACAATTACATGAAAGAATTAGATCCTGAATCTACTGGTACAATAGATTTCTTGCAAATGATGAAAATCTTAACTAAAGCAGTTAAAGATGATGATACGATTGATGAATTAATGGCAGTACATACATCCTTTTAAATGAACTTTTTTAGTCATTTCGTGTTTTTGATGTTGATAATACTGGTACAATTCCAACTGCTGAGATGAGATATATTTTAATAGAAATGGGAGAAAAGATGACAGCTTAAGATGTTAAGGATATTTTAAAGGAAATGGACCCAGATGATAGTGGAATGTGCAAATATGTTGATTATGTCAAAAAAAAGTATGAAGATTTACAAGTAGCCAAAGCTAAGGCTGCTAAACTTAAAGCCAAAAAAAAGAAGAAGTGAAGCTTAATGTTTTAGTTAATTATTTATATTTTTATTTCTTTTATGATGTTACTACTTATCAATAGAGACTTGTTAAATTATGTATATATTAATTTGTTTATAATGAAATTAATTAAAACTAATTATCTATTTATATGAATTCCCTCTAAAATTTATCAGATAAGGTATCATTATTTTATTGCTGATTAATAATTTTATGCAAGTGTTATAATTCATAAATATAGATACTATAAAAATATGATAATTAATTATGGAACTTTGATCACAATCAATTATTAATAAGACCATATTTCCCTATTTAGAAGAAGAGAGTTCAAATAAAATCTGGAGCATCAAACATTAGTAATATAAAGGAATCTAGAATAGAGAATAATTATAATTTGAAGAAGAAATATATTAAGCTGATAAAAGTTTAATTAAATTAACAATAAAATGTTAGAAAGAATAATATGAGGATGAGATTTTCACTTATTTGATGTCTAATAAATCTAAGTTGCAAATTGATTCTGTCATGATGCAAAGTATCAATTACTTAGATGAATTTCATAAGTAAATAAATTTAAAGAAATGTGTTATGATATCAAATAAAAACTCAACTTAAATTGATAATTATGAAGAAAAGGATGAGAGACAAGATAAAGACAATCAAAATTCTGGTTTTTCAAAAGGAAAGACTAGATAAAATTATGGATAATAAGATATAAAATATTATCAAGATTATAAGAATACAAGAGGTAAAGGAAGATTTGATAGAAAACAAGGGAATAATGGAAATAGATAAAATAATTTAATGATTGATTAATAATTAGTAATACTTTTAAAAAGGGTAATCACTATAATTATATCAAATGGTTCCAAAAAATGTTACTTAGAAAACACCAAAGTTAGAAGTTTAATAGAATTCAATTGATTAAAATGATTTCCCAACTTTAGGTGCATAATAGAATTGAGTAATATAAATAAATAAACAGATTAATTAATTGTTCAATTTTATTTATTTTAATATACTTATATTAATATATTCTCATGCTCCAATAGCTAATTTAGATCTTGCAGCTTGTTTTCTTGATTAACGAGCAACAACCTTATTGTTAGTTTCCTTTTTAACATTTTCATCTCTTTCTGAAGCCCAAATTTCAATATGAGCATTTGATGATAAGAAAGCTTGAAAATATAAATAATTAAATTACGATTGATTCTTCCATGAGCTCTGTATGTTCTACGTCTACCCTTTTAAGCTCTATTGACTTAGACATGATTGATAATCAATTTTTCATTACTTAAATTTTTGACTTAAGCATTAGCAGCCAAATTTTATAAGAGAGATAAAACCATTCTAACACTTTTTTCTGGCCATCTACCTAAAAATCAAATATTCAATGTAAATACCTTGAGATCTGCCGAATTCTTTAGCTTAACTTGTTCTTCCTACACCACCATTAAATCTTGTGAAAGGAACACATCTCTTATGTTAAAGAATGTCTTGCATATATTTAAGAGCTTAAGCAAGTGTTTATCCTTTGATTGCTCTAGCTACTTCATAAGTATTCTTAAAATGAGTTCTCAAATCACTTGCTTTAGCTTTAGCTGATTTTTTAGCAACAGCAGGTTCTCTTGCATATTATTTACCCATTAAATTATATCCTTTTTAATTTATTTGATTTTTTTTTCAAATTTTATTCGTAATAATACCATATAAAAAAGAATAATGTTTTATTTTATATTGATTTAGATGTAGGCATTTATATCAATTATTTACTACTGCATATCTGACTCTATATCCTCCTCCGAATTGTTCAATATTAGTAGACTCAAATAATTCTTTTGGTTGACTTTTGAACAAGAATCCTAAATTCCTTTTTTATTGAGGAAT